AGTAACGTACAGATACTCCCAAAAAATACTTAAGTACTGTAACGAAGTATTATTACTTCGTTACATTACACCAGTGTTTAATGCAATTTGGTTTTCCATGTTTAATCTAGGCTATTTGTGTTCAATCCTACACTGTAAAGTTTTCACCCCTTTCAACTTAAAAACGTAAGTTTTGTGGCTGCCTTAAAATTTTAAGTTAAATCAACTTGAAAGTACAAGTCATTTCAACTCACTAATTTAAATCTTGCCTAGTGCTGAATTGTTTTATTGAAATTCATTTGACTTTACAATATTTGCGGTTTCAACTTAAGTTCAAAATTTTTAACATTAATTTTCTAGTTATCTTCAGAACACAAATGAGGATATTTTTTGATGAAATTCGAGAGCTTTCTGACCCTCCATTGGCAGCAACGCAACTAAAACATTCAAGGTCCAGAATGGTAGAAAGACATCATTAAAGTAATCCATGTGACTCCTGTGGTTTAACCTCAATTTTATGAAGCAATGCACGTGCTTTGTTTGTGCAAAAAACACATTTTACCGCTTTATTTTCTACAAATATTGATCTGCCACACACCCTCATAAGAGCATCATGACGCATGTATGTTGTGTTCACGCTAGAGTTAACATTGTAGCATAAACAAGCTTTGAATAATATTTTATTGTAAATTAAGTGGTAAATAAATTTTTTTTTTTTTGACAAACATAGCACTCGTGTTGCTTCATAAAATTGAGGTTAAACCAGAGGAGTCACATGGATTACTTTAATGATGTCTTTCCTACATTTCTGGACCTTGAATGTTTTAGTTGCGTTGCTGCCAGTGGAGGAACAGAAAGCCCTCAGATTTCATCAAAAATATTTTTGTTTGTGTTCTGAAGACGAACAAAGGTCTTACAGGTGTGGAACGACATGAGAGTGAGTAATTAATGACAGAATTTTCATTAACATTAAAGTGTGACAAACATGCAAAAAAATAAGAAATCAGGAAGGGGGCCAACACTTTTTCACACCACTGTATGTGGGTCATAAAAAAGTTAGTGGTCTTGATAGAATTACAATATTGCCATAGTCACAGTAAAACATTTTGACTGCAGTTACTGGGATCCTTACTTTGTTTACTTTGAAGGAAGACATTTTGTAGAGTTTTTATTCTTATGAAGTCTTTGTTTGGTTTTTACTCTTTACATTTCTGATACAGCAACAGTTTCTAATTTATATAACTTTATATTTAATTTAGGGATGCACCGATAGGATTTTTTGGGCCCGATACCGATTTTAACAAACACTTATTGGCCGACTCCGATACCGATATTTGTCAAAACAAATGTTTTGTAACACCGCGGACTTGGCAACACTGCTTATGAACCGACCGCACTATAGCATTTCCTTGTTTACCGCTGTAAACAAAGCAGAGTTGCGCTTTATACGGAGAAGAAAATGCCATTGCCATCGAAACTTTTCTCAAGACAGTTCCCTTCAGTGATAAATGAATATAACCCCATAAATGTAATGCATTTTTGTACTTATTTTACTGTTTTTTTCGGGATCTACTGGGACAGTGATAAAGATCTGCCAGTCGATCGCGATCGACCGGTTGGCGACCACTGCTTTAGACAAAAGTATTATCTTTCCTATTTTTACCCAAAATAGGGTGTTGTGAGCATTACTGAGTACACACGTAATGTAATGACTGTTTAATTAATACTGGAAGCTGGAGGGCGCCCTTGCACAGAAACTCCATATCCATAGCAGAAGTAATAGGCCTACTACTGACGACGCTCCATAAAATCCCTAATATGGACAAAGTTATCCATTATTGCTGAATAAAAACACACAACAGAGATAGAGAAATTTTAACTGATGAAACTTGAAGACAATAAACATACGATTGCACAAAATCTGTTTTATCTTTGTTCTTTAAGCAATCTTGGGTATTGGAAAGTATATTTATAATGCAATGCTAATCGACATAGCCTTTATCACTGTATATAATATTATCATTCTGTGATATGAAACCACATCTGGTCACAAAAAGAAGTATTTCAAACACTCTCGACTTTGTTATTAAGTTAACTTGGAGAAAAAGCATGTCAATGATATCTTTGTTGGACAACAGGTTTGTAAACAGGCTCATACACATGCAAAACTGTATCGCACACGTGCTTGTACATTTATTCTTGCTAATATGATTGGATGAACATTTTAAGGTCCTACTCCTTCCACGGACGATTTAAATACAGAAATACATTTAGACCACTTCACTTAACTTAAGTGATTGCTATCGGGTTGTGAAGAGACTTTCAACCATCAAAACAAAAAAGGTTTCTGAACCAAATCACCTACCCTGTCTTTAAGAATACATGTTTCTGCACCATTTCTGTGTGTCTAATCAACCAAATAAATTTTGCATCACTGTTCACATGACCCAGTTGTTAATTTTGTGCTTAAACTAACAGAAAACATTAGCTTTGCTGTTATTTTGGTGTTGCTAATAATTTCCACTCCGTTCTTATCAAATTTGTGTTTGAAATTAATTTCATTTTGTGAGGAGAACTGTTGAGGAAAAGTAACAGAACCCAATTTTAAGTTCATCATGGTGAAGTTGGACATTCTGGCGGTGATTGTAAGGATGATAAATGCATGTTGATGTCATATAATAATGTCTTGAATAAAATATGCCTGTTTTCCGATGTTTCTCTTTCTTTTTGGCATTATCGCCTGTGTAGACACGTTTCATGAAGGTAAGTTTAATTTCCTTAAAGGGGTCCTATTATGCTTTTTCACTTTTTTAATTATTAAGATTAAAAACATTTTAGACTGAAACAAACTGTTGTAAAGTGACCAGTCTCAGCAATTTACATTTCCCAGAAACAAAATTTATTACTTTTGTTACTAAAGGTTATTTACTTGTCTGTTTGATAGATGGCACAGAACCCTCTCACATGCACAGTAAGGATGAAGGCAATTTTTTCCGTGGATATGAGTGGTGGCTTATGAAAGAAGCCAAGAAGAGAAATCCAAACATCAAGCTGATTGGTAATTGGTTTGTTCCACACTCCATTGGCCATTTATATACTGAAAGACAGAAATAATATAGAGACGATGACAGATATTTGACTTGATTCAAAGCTTTGATTTTGAAGGTCTTCCCTGGGCATTTCCGGGATGGGTTGGAGAAGGAACCCAATGGCCTTACTTCTTTCCAAATGTTACTGCTGACTATGTTGTTACATGGATCTACGGAGCAAAGCAGCATCATAACCTTGAAATTGATTATATTGGGGTATGTATGCAATAGCTAATAGTGCAAATCATTATGATGATATGATATTTTAGAGGGAAACTTTATTTGAACTTCTCTTTTTGATCTTTTTTTCAGATATGGAATGAAAAAAAATATGATCCAGTATACATCAAGGTAAAAAAAAAAAAATTAGAGTAAATTCTGTAACAGCCTAACTGAATTGGCAATAAGATGTGTCTATCTGTCATTTACCCAGGTGCTGAGAGATACTTTGGACAGAGTTGGTTATACAAATGTCGGCATCATTGCTGCAGACGGAGACTGGTCCATTGCAGCTGCCATGCTGGAGGATCCATATCTGAATGATGCTGTTGAGGTGATAGGGTAAGCAGTTTGCTTTCTTTGCCCTTAAAACCCATATAATTGACCAACTAGCTGAGCTATTAAAGGGTTAGTTCACCCAAAAATGAAAATTAGCCCACAAATTTCTCACCCTCAAGTCATCCTAGGTGTATATGACTTTCTTCTTTCCGACGAATCCAGTCGGAGTTATATAAAAAATTGTCTTTGATCTTTCAAGCTGTTTCAAGGCACTCAGCGAGTGTTGCATGCTTCAGTCCAAAACAAGTTAAATAAAAAGCACCCATTCATAAAAAAAGTGTCTCACACACGCTCCGGGGGGTGAACAAAGGCCTTCTGTTCACTGTTGTAAAGGTAAGCAGTTCCGGGCGGATGACGTATGGAGGTCGGATTTGCGCATGCGCCGCTCAGAAGTGACACACGCGGAAACGCAGCGGCTACAGTATTTTTCTCTGTGCGTCCGTCTTCAGCGTCTCTGGCCTGTGCTAACGGGTGTTTACAGACTTCATATTTTCACATAAATTACATTTTGGAAAACGATTGCATTGCAACGCAGTTTGTGCAAGTCCAGAACAGAGACAAGTTGCAATAAAACAAAAAACGTCCGGTTGCCGATCGCATAAGTTTGGCCAACCTACACACACGTGACTGGCCGCTCACTCGCACCAACAGGAGGAGGAGGGTCGTGTTACCCTCTACACTGCACTCAACCTGAGGGATTCCTAATAACCCAATTTGAAGCAAAAACAGAATGTTCTGACTACCTTTGTGAAATTATACTACATGCCCGAAAGAAACAAACAGCAGATGAGCTGAATGAGACGCAGATTCACTCTCTGACAGCAGGAGGCGCTTCTGGAACACCAGATACGGTGTTTCCTTGGTTACCGCTGTAAACAAAGCAGTAGCTGTGCTAAAACACTGCTTTAATATGAACTATACAGAGAGGAGATGAAAAGAAAATACCACGTAAACTTTTCTGAAGACAGTCAGTCTCACCAAAACCCCCAGAAACATTCATATAAACCCCCAAATCAATATTGAGGATTTTCTTCCAATAGTTTGTGCATCATGAACAGTGAGTGATCTGCCTGCTACAGTATTTTTCTCTGTGCGTCCGTCTTCAGCGTTTCTGGCCTGTGTTAACAGGCGTTTACAGACTTCATATTTTCACGTAAATTACATTTTGGAAAACGATTACATTGCAACGCAGTTTGTGCAAGTCCAGAATAGAGACGAGTTGCAATAAGACAAAAAACGGCCGGTTGCCAATCGCGTAAGTTCCAGGGGCAGCTTCTTAAGTTCGACCATCCTACACACACGTGACTGGCCGCTCACTCGCACCAACAGGAGGAGGAGGGTCGTGTTACCCTCTACACTGCACTCAACCTGAGGGATTCCTACACTTTCAGTCTTTGAGGAGACATGAAAACAGCCCAAACTGCAGGAACGGTATAACAGAATATATTAGTGGTTTTGAAACCGTGAAATGTTCAAATCGTGGTATACCTTGAAACCGGTAATCAGCCCATGCCTAGTGAGTAATTAATGATAGAATTTTCATTTTTGGGTGAACTAACCCTTTAAAACCACGCATATAGCACCTCAATACCATGGTAAAAATGTAACTGTATGGTTTCTAGGTATTTGTATGAAAAACTGTTGTCTAAATACATTTAGTATAAATTAATACTGTAATTATATTTAGTGCTGGGTGGTATGACCAAAAATGTATATCAGGGTATTTTTAAAAATTATACTGGTTTCACGGTACATGACAGTATTTTTTTTTCATGCATGACCGGGTGTTAACCATATTTTCTACTGATTGAGAGAGGAAATACTGCAGTATATTGACTTAGAATGCCCTATTTTACTGTCATGATGAGTGAATATTGTCAAAAAATACCACACTAAATAGTGACTAAACACGACCCCTTTAATACATGTTAACCAGGAGTCACTCTCATTTATAACCGTGGCATCGTCTGATAAAATCAACATGCATCTACACTAAAGAGCGGCTATGCGGTTGTTTTGGCTA